CTTTGCCCAGTCTTCGGAATGCTCCACTTTGCGCAGTTCTTCAAATTCCTCATGCAAAATCAAATTGAACTAGAGAGGAAGCAAAGGGAGGAAATCATCACGGAACAAACTAGAGCATTCCGAAAATATACATAAGAGGTTATATCGAGATCACATAAAAGGGGGGAATAAGGGGAGTACAAGCCCGGCTCGTAGAGATAAGCCCAAATTCCGAAGCCTCCCCAGCTGATAATCTCTAACCTTTCACGAATGAAAGTCGTATGAAGCATACTTTCTGCAGAGCATGTAACTCTTCCGCTCCTCGCAACTTCGCGTGATGCAACATCTGCAATGAGACAACCTCTGGTGATAGATCAGTTAGAAGGTTTCAGTGGGACTACCTGTTGGAAGGCAATGTTGCTGAACACACAGATAGCGGAACTGTGAGCCGGAACGCGACAAACTGTGGACGGCTCCTGATGCATGTTATAGTTAAGATTCCGCGATTGCACGAAAATCGATGATTCGGAGAGATTTCGTATGTAGAGATCGTAGTCGCTCGTATACACTAGACTGATTCCTGAAAGAAATGTCGGGATGTGATAACCAATTGCGGAATACAGTTCTCCAACTACTTATTTCATTCCGTTACGCTCTCAAAAGAAATGATACACTACTGTTCGGCGTTAACAAGTACCTGAGCAATTATGTGCAATTGTTTACGCTGCAAACGCTGGGGCGTCTCAGAAGGGGAAGGGGGCAGCCCCGTTTTCCACCAGCTGTTGTTGCTTACCCGCTCCAATGATTGGTGAAAATCGACTGGTGGAGCGCCAAACCAACTCCTGACACGCCCCACTGTCCGACTTGAAAGCAGTTGGCACGATGGTTTCCTACTTAGCCTAAAATGCTAGTAGGGCGCTGTATAGTGGGGAAATGGCGAAAGAACGGAGTGAAACGGTCAAAATCCTGCGAAGAAAAAGCCTCCGTTCTCAGTGACTTGTAAATCGATTTCGGACGAGTTTCCCGTAGGCACCGTAGGATTTCGGACGAGTTTCCCGTAG